CACCCCCCCCCCAACCCGAGCCCTCCAGGAAACACTTGCAGCTCTTAACCTTTGAGGTTTGACGGGTTTTCTCCCCTCAACCTCCTTTGAACTTTGTTTCTTTTGCTTCTTCCTTGCCCGGTTTTTTGTTTTTGTTTTTTTTTTTGTGTGTGTGTGTGTTTTGTTTTTGTTTTTTTTTTTAAATTAATTTATTTATAGATATATTAATAAAAAGCAATAGTCCTTTGGTCCCTAAACTCTAAGGAATGATATGACTCTGAAACAAGTAATCCTATGTCCCTGTGCCAGTGACAAGCAGGGGGACACGCACGTCCCGCCGCCCTGCTCCATGGGATATATATATATATACTTATTTATATATATCTTCTATAAGTCCAACATCCTTTGATCCCCTTTTTTTTCCCCCCTGACACGGGGAAAAACCAAATCTTGCCCTTTTTCCTTTTTCCAAACAAGCTTTTCCAGGTGAAGCACCCAAGGCTGGTCCCATCCCACTGGCTTTGGTCTAAGAATCCGTTTGGAGCCTCTTTTCCTTGTTTCTCCTGGGAAATCAGTAGCAGCAAATGAGTGCTTTATAAAACAAACACAAAGGTAGATCCGTATCCCAGCTGCCTGGAGCCGTCGGCCGTTCTCCCAGGGAGGGATCTGGTGAGTCCTGGTGAGCAAACCTCAGCCCCAGCTCCACATCTCCACAGCATCACTCTCCTCCTTCCTTGTCTTCCTCGCTCTCTCATTCCCGTTAAGTAACAAACAAAGACCAGTTTGGGGAAACAAATCAAAAAAGGAAAGAAAAGCTACAACCGGAATGACTCTCTTCTTCACCGCCTCCTCCAGCGCCTCCTCAGCTGCCTCCTCGGGGTGTGTGCAAAGAAAGAGAGTTACAGGTTTGGACACTGCACGTGGGGAAGGGGGAAGTCGTCAGACACCGCGGGACGCCCGACCTGCAAAACAGGGAAGGGGCCTTGGGGCTGCGTCCTGGGAGGGACAGAGGGATGGGTGGGGAGAGGGGAAGGAGGGAGGGAGGGGTGGAGAGAGGGAGGGAGGGGTGGAGAGAGGGAGGGAGGGATGGACAGGACAGAGGGATGGAGAGAGGGATGGGGGAAGGACGGAGAGAGGGATGGAAAGGAGAAAGAGGGATGGAAAGAAGGATGGAGGGAAAGATGGAGGGAGGAAGGAAGGGAGGGAAAGATGGAAGGATGAAGGGAGGGAGAGAGGGATGGGGGAAGGACAGAGAGAGGGATGGAAAGGAGGATGGAGGGAAACATGGAGGGAGGAAGGAAGGAAGAGAGGGATGGAGAGAGGGATGGGGGAAGAACAGAGAGAGGGATGGAAAGAAGGATGGAGGGAAACATGGAGGGAGGAAGGAAGAAAGGGAGGGAGAGGACAGAGAAAGGGATGGAGGGAGGGAGGGGACAGAGAGAGGGATGAAAAGAAGCAGAGAGGGATCGAGAGAAGTACAGAGGGAAAGACAGAGGGATGGAGGGAGAGGACAGAGAGAGAGATGGAAAGAAGGCTGGAGAGGGATGGAGAGTGGGAACGACCTAAATCTTGAACCACTCACACCGAGGGTCCTGGGCGCAGAGCCCCCCGCACACACTGGAGGACATTTCGGCGCCGGCTGTGCCCCCGTGAGCCCAGCCCCACTGCCAGGTCCCCCGGGGCACGACCCCCCAGCCCCCCTTACCTTTCCACAGGGCCAGGGGGAGCAGAGGTCAGTAGGGCCTGTTGGCATCTTTCGGCCGCTTTAGCTGGACTTTTAGCCTCTTCATGCCGATCTGGAAGCCGTTCATGGCCTGAATGGCTGCCTGAGCGCTCGTCGGGTTGTCAAAACTGACAAAACCTGGGGGCCAGGGACAGGGGACAGAGGGGTTTGGCACCATGAGCATCACAGGGGGCTGCTTTACTTCAGCCAAGGTGTGGAAATCCCACAGGGCGCTCCCCAGGTGGCCTCAGGGGGACCCGCAGGTTGGGGGCTGGGAGAGGGGGATGTGGGGGTAACAGCACAGCTCCCAGCTGCAGGGTACTGGGTGATGGGCTGATGGCATCTTTGGGGACACAAAGATCTGTGGGGACATTGCTGTAAGAGGTTCTAGAGGGAATGGTCTCTGTGGACACTAAGGTGATGGGACTTGTGTGGACACTGGGCTGACAGGGTCTACCACAGTGATGGGGACTGTGGGCACACCAAGGTGATGGGGTCTGCAGGCTCATGGGACACCCAGGTGACAGGATCTGCAAAGACACTGAGGTGATGGGGCCCCCAGACACACTGGAGCTGTGTCACCAAGGTGAGGAGTCTGTAGGGACACCAGGTTGACAGGGTCTGTGGAGACACCAGGGTGATGAGGTCTGGGGACAGCAGGGTGACAGGATTTGTGGGGTCACCAAAGTGAAACAGGCTACAGGGACACTGTGCTGGCAAGTGTGCATGCCAGAGCATGCTTGGGGCAGTGGTGACACTCAGCCACCTGAGCAGAGCAGACATGGCAGTGGCAATTGGTGACCAGCCCTCCCTGATGGGCACACAGGCAGGTGCACAGGGCTGAGGACACAGGGGACAGTGTAAGAGGGGACAGCAGCAGGATCAGTCCTTCTGGGGTGGTGTGGGACAAAAACCTGCCCTTTGGCCTTAGGACAGACAGCCACGTTGCTCCAGCCACTGTGTGGCTTCAGTCACCCATCAGTGCTGCCCAAGCCAAACCCCTGAGCTGGGACATCAGGAAGAGCCTGACCCCTGAGCTGGGATGTCAGGGAGAGAAGGACCCCAAGCTGGGAAGTGAAGGAGACCCTAAGCTGGCACATCAAGGAGAGATGGATCCCTGAGCTGGGATGTCAGGGAGAGAAGGACCCCGAGCTGGGAAGTCAAAGAGACCCTAAGCTGGCACATCAAGGAGTGATGGATCCCTGAGCTGGGATGTCAGGGAGAGCCAGAACCCTGCGCAGGGGGACCAGGAAGAGCTGGATCTCGAAGCTGGGGGCACTGGTGAGAACCACACCCCCAAACTGGGATGTCAGGGAAAGTTGGATCCCTGAGCTGGACACCAGGGACAACAAGGTCCCCAAACTGGGGGGAGACAGACCCTCAGGCTGGGACATCAGCAGGAGCTGGAGAGCAGGGAGGGCTGGGCCCCTTTGGTGGGACCCTGGCCTGGGACATGGTGGGGCACCACACCTCAGGACTTACCAAAGCATTTACTCTGGTTGGTGGCACGGTCCACAAAGACTTTGGCAGAGATGACATTGCCGAAAGGCAAGAACATCTGCGTGAGCTCCGCGTCCCCGAACTCCTGGGGCAGGTGATAAATAAACAGGTTACAGCCCTCGGGACCTGGGTGACACACAAAAGGACAGCCACACGTCAGGCAGGGGGCACCCCCGGGGGAGCGAGGAGCTGCCAGCCCCACGGCAGGGTGACCCCCCCACCCCTCACCTTCTCGCTGCTGCTGCGGGATGATGGGCGCTTGCTGGGGAAAGGCTTGGCTGATGGGGGCGTAGGCGGTGGGATACGCTGCTGGAAGGGAGAGACGTGGAGCTGAGACCCCCAGCACCCACCCTGCTCCCAGCACAGCCCTGGGAAGGGCTGGGGACAGGGATGATCCCTGCTGTCATCCCCGATGGATGTGCTTCTCCTGCCCTTCCCACCCCTACTGGCACGGCCCCGGCCTCCCAGCACACCCAGGATACGGGAATGGCCCTTCCAGAAGGGACACTGGTGGCAGCAGTCATACAGCCTCGAGGCTGAGGAAAGCCAGCACTTTTGGTTGAAAAAAAAATACAAAAATTGGGGCTGCAAAACTTGCTTTTCTGTTGAAAACCTGCAGAACACTAGTAGTGCTGCTAATTAAACAGCTGCTGGACTCCATGTACTTCCACAGGCTGCTCTGACTCCCTTCTCTGCATCCCACCTTCCTGGCCATCAGAATTGTCCATGCAAGAAACATCCAAGGATTTTTGATGACCCGGTGCCTCCATGGCCACCTCCACCAGTGTGCTGGCCTGTTGGTAGGAGCCAGCACGGAGCCAGCTCTCCACCACCACCCAGAACTCACACCCTTTCCTGGGTGCTGCCACTAGCTCTCCCCCATGGAATTATCTCAGTGTTAAAACTCACTTTCCTCCATCTAAAACTTGCATGGAGGGCTGTGCCAGGAGCACATCTGTGCTGCTGGGGACAGGAGGCCAGTGCTTTCCATCAGCATCACCCAACGCTCACCACGTTGCCCCAACACCCATCCCCAGTGCTGTGGTTCAACCCCAAGGTGGCGTTTCACCCCTCCCAAAAAAAGGGTGAGGAGCAAAGAAGAGAAAGAGGCAAGATGTGCAAAGCAAAGCTGGAGACCTGCATAGTGCTGCATGCCTGCGTAGGCCTGCTGGAGGGGATCCGCCACCGTCGGGCTTTGAGCTGGGGAGAGAAAAGAAGGAAGAAGGAAGAGGAGGGAAGAGAAACCTGGGGATGAGCTGCTCCCATGGGAGAGGGGCTCTTGTCTGAGCACTGAGCTGCTCCTACACCACTTGGGAAGAGCTGAGAGCATCGCCCTGCTCACACATGGGAGGAAGGATGTTGGTGGGGATTGGTGCACGGCTGGTTCATCCTGTGTGCTCCCAGGATGGGAACACCCTGGGATGGGGAACACCTTGGGATGGGGAACACCCCGGGATGGGGAACACCCCGAGATGGGGAACACCCCCGGAGCTGGCCATGGGGGCTGAGCATGCACACTCCCAACCCCAGGGGGATGGGTGGGAGCCCCCCAGCAGGCTGCAAGGAGGGTTACCTGGGTAGGGGTGGATGCCATTGGTGTAGATGGTCTCGGAGGCGGGCTGCCCGTTGCTCTGGGGGGGCAGGGGGCTGAAGCCGTTCACCCCGATGGGCGCGGCGATGCTGGGCACGGGCGCCGTGCCGATGCCGGGGGGGGTGCTGGTCCCTGTGGGAGGGAGGATCAGCACCAGCAGCCCCCCCTTGGTGGGGGGATGCTGAGCAGGATGGGGAGGGCAACAGAGGTGGTTTGTACCTGAAGAGGGGGTGAGGGGGGCGGCCACCAGCCCGCTGACGTTGAAGGCGGCCCTTTGCTGCATCTGGGCGGCAGCGATGGCGGCCATGGGGTTCAGGCAGGTCCCCTGGGCAGCAGCCATCAGGGCTGCCTGCTGCTGCATGATCTGAGGGGCAGAAAGGGGGGAGAAGAGGGGAGAGCAAGGGAGAAGCAGAGAGAAGCAGGGAAGGGTAAATTAGCGTTCCCCCCCTTGGCACCCGCACACGGGGGCTCAGAGGGGGAACTGCCACCCGCTGCCAGACCTGGGGACAGGAGGTCTGGGTGACCCTAAAAAAGGGGACACACGGGACTGCTGCACCTTACAGCTGTGCCACCCTCCCCTGGGGAGGTGAAGGCACCATCTGGAGGCATCTGGAGGGCACCATTGTGCCCCCAGATGGGGATACCCCAACCCTGAAGGGCGTCTGACACTGGTACAATCCCATGCAGGCTTTCACCGGCAAAACGAGCCCCTCCCCCAGCCAGGGGGCTCCCCAGACCCCCCTCCAGCCCCCATCCTGGCTGGTGTCAGCTCCTACCGCTTGCGTGTAGGCCCCGTAGGCGCCGAACTGGATGGTCATGGGGTTGAAGATGCCCAGCTGCCCTGCCATCTGATGCATCCGCCGCAGGGTCCGCTCCTTGTCCGTGTCCGCAAACTTCACCACCAGGCTGGACGAGGCGCCCTGAGTTGGGAAGACGGGGCTGACGATGCTGTCCCAGCCATGTCCCCAAAATGTCTCCCTGCTCCGGGGAAGGACCCGCTGGCTCGGAGCAGCCGCAGCATCCTCAGCCCCAGGGATGCTGCCTGGCTTGGCAGCAGCAACCAGCGATCGATGGGAGGTTTAATTATAGCCAGTTTTTCTCCCTGGCGGCAGCTCCCTGACCTCTGTTTCCTTTCTCCTCCTCCTCGTTCACAAATTTGACCTTCAGAGTTAATTAAACAACCCCTTTCTCCAGCACAGAGGGAATTAGCCCCCCACGCCCATCCCCGGGGGCTCAGTGCCCAGGCAAGGATGAAACCTCGGGGTGATCTGGCCAACAAATTGCCCCATCTGTAGGATTTTGATCCAATTAGACAAGAGGATCAAATTAGCTGGTGATTGGATTAGGCAGGCAGCACGGGGTGGGACGGGGCAGGGCAGAGCCTGGCACTTACCGGCATGGTCTGGCTGCCGTGCAGGCTGTTGATGGCAGCCTGTGCCTCGGCGTGGCTGCCGTACTTCACAAAGGCACAACCTAAGGACAGACAGGGCACAAGGGAGAGGTTGGATTCGGCTGCTGCAGGAGTCAAAGCTGCCCAGCTGGTGGCTCCTGCTCACCCAGACCCCCAAAGCCCACCTTTGCTGGCTCCATCCGGCCCTCGGAGGATGGTGCACTCCTCGATCTGGCCAAAGGGCTCAAAGAGGCGCCGGACGTCGTCCTCGCTCTGCTGCTTCCCCAGCATGCCCACAAAGAGCTTCCTGTCTTCTAAAAACAACACCCAGCCCGTCAGAGAGCGGGATGTCACTCACCATCCCATCCACTCAGCCCCAGTCTGCACAGAGGGAGAAGACCCACTGAGCGGAGCCCAGGGAGGGAGCGATGCCGCTCCAGCAGTGGAGATGGAGGCTTTATCACCTCCATCCTATAAAATGCTTGGGGTGGGAAAACCTCTCCTGCAGCGAAATTGCTGAGGGCTGAAGCTGGGAAGAGCCATCTCCTGCTTCAGGAACTAGAGTTGGGGCTTTTCTTGGGGATGGAGGAGCCAGCTCCTCCAGCACTGACGTGGGATGCAGTCGGGAGACAAAGAGAGCCCACAAAAACAGTGGCGATTGCCTCCGTATGATTGACTCCCAGAATAACCCACAGCCTCTGGTCGTGCCCAGGGGACATAAATAACCCAAACATGAGAGAAGGGAGAGTAAATAATGAGAATTTCATGATTATTACCAGCATCTGTCTTGCGCAGCCGCGCGCTCCCACCGCGCGCTAATGGCATTTGACAAAGAAAATAAGGTGCCCTGTCAAGAGCGTTGCCAGGGAAATAAATAAATAATGGCAGGAGACGATTAATGCTCTGTCCGTTAAGGTACGGGGAGAATTAGTTAAGGGAATAGGGCTCGTGTGTTGTCTAGTTAAATATAAACCATCTCCTGGTGCAGGTGGCCAGGGGCACTGGGCTCAGCGGCCCCGCGTCACCCCTTGGGCGAGGGGACCAGAGCTGGGTGCCCAAGCTCGCCCATCAATTTTTAATCCTCTCCCAATTACACTCGGTACGTGGGTAATTTATGTGCTGGGTTCCTCCGGGACGTGCCGGGTCCAGCTCGTGTGGGGTTTAATGAGGTGTTTTGGGTGGGAGGATATCTGCCCTGGCTGTCCTGCCGAGCACACGCAGCTCCACATCCGTGTCCCGCCCGGCCCAGCATCCCTATGTGCCCTGTGCTGGCTCACAGCACCAGGAACGTTGCTGGGTTTTGATCCATTTCCTGCAATTTTGCCCAAACTGTTGACTCAGCCTGGAGCTGCAGCACCCCCCGAGCTGCAAGCACCCACTGAGGATTTCGGGGGGAGGGGGGAGTGGCAGCTTCTGTCTGCGAGGGGCTCAGGCCACGTGCGGCCACTCCTGCCCCCCACCTCTGCTGGGGCCCCCACAGGCAGCTGCGGGCAGGGAGTCAGGTTGTCTGATAGACAAAGGGGCTGTCACAGAGCAGCTCTGCCTGGGGAAGAAGACCTCAGAATGCTCATGGCATGACGTCAGGATGCTCATGGCATGACGTCAGGATGTTCTCAGCATGACATCAGGACTTTTTCCCCCCAGTGCCTGGGCAGGGAGAGCAGAGATGGCATTTCCCAGCCAGGTGCGGGCAGGGAGTCAGGTTGTCTGATAGACAAAGGGGCTGTCACAGAGCAGCTCTGCCTGGGGAAGAAGACCTCAGAATGCTCATGGCATGACGTCAGGATGCTCATGGCATGACGTCAGGATGTTCTCAGCATGACATCAGGACTTTTTCCCCCCAGTGCCTGGGCAGGGAGAGCAGAGATGGCATTTCCCAGCCAGGTTTGGATGCCACTGGCACAGGCAGCCCCTTT